TGATCGGTTTTTTTCCAATCTTTGCCGGCAGTTGCGTCTTCAACAAGTTCTAAATGAATTAACAAAAAAACGTACATCAATCTGATCTGTAAACAGCAATGATAATTGCATAGAAGCGTAATGGCCAGTTATAATTTTTTACATAATAGTTTTTCGAATCCTCATGGTTTCTAACCTCTAATGAAAGAAATGGAGTAAAAAAATGTTTTTTTCCTCTTGTTTTTTTTCGCATTTTGAGAAATTCTCTTTTTCCTTGTCCAATCTGTATATTTCGTTCTAACCGTTCTGTTTCTGGTAAAAAAATGATTTGAAAAATTTCTCTCAGCTCCTCATACACAGTCTGGTTATTTTAAATCAAAAAATTCAAATATGAAATTTCACGCCACTTATCACATCAGTTCGCCTTTTTAACTGTGAAAACACCAAAAGACTGGAAACACTAAAAAAACGAAAAGATAAAAGATAAACTGGGCAAAGGTATGGCTTGTCAAATGTTCAGTTGTTGTGCATTACCAGACCTCAGTTGATTCAATTTTTGCTAATTAAAGCTCCAACAACAGCTACCGGTCACTATGAACTACTACCCAGCATTTACGATAATCATCATTAAGTGTTATCTCATCCTTCAAACACAGTTAATAAAAACAAAAATTTTAAGTTCTCATATTTCGCTAATAACTGTTCATCATGGAAATGTCAAATAAGCGAGAAACTAATGGTAATGCACTTCATATTTTTCCAAATATCAGCTGTCAATTTGAGCACGTATTTGAACAGCAGCTTATTAGAAGCAGTGAAACAATTGGAGATTTTCTAGTGCCTAACCTATATTAAACATAAACATACATATGTATCTTAGTAGTTGCGTGAAAACACTGACTTATGCTTACAACCAGATGGTCTTAGTAGGTTTGTATATTTAAGTGCGTATGTGTGTGTGTGTGTGTCATAAGGAGTAGTAGCACTAGGTCAAGGACGGCCCAATAAGAAATGTATTAATATTTATTACAGCTTTTTCAATGGCACACGCACAATCAAAAACAGTTATAACCAAAGAAAAAAAAATCAATCCTTTGATTCAATAAAAAATTAAAAAAAAAAAAATTTTTTTTTTTGCATTCTAAATTACACACAAAAAATATATATTGCGCTTATTTTTCTTTTTTCAAAATAAAATTAAAAATAGCATTGCGCCTATATTAGCCTATCGCCACTGACGACACAGTTTTTGGGAACATTCTTGCTCCGAACTTCATTTGACGACTTTCGTACATCCGTTATAACTTTATCACCTGTAGACGATAATAAATCCTAAAAAAAAATAAACAATTAATGCATTTTCCACCTTATTTTTGCAAAAAACTTTACCCCAACATTAAAGACTATTAAGAAAACTGCTAATGAAAAAGCATTCATTCCTAGTCTCCAAAGATAGATACTTCTTATGTTGTATCAACGTACACACGAAAACGTATATTATTTGCTAAATGATTACCAAAGATTGCACATTATCCCAGGTTGGCTTTTCCTCAGCAAACAACCCGATACGTTTGCCTAGAGTCTCCCTGAGTGACGACACTTCAGCTCGTAACTGATTTACCTCAGCTCTTAGGTCTTTATCTGCTACCAACTCCTAAAATCATAACTTGATATTGAAATGATGATTCAGCAATCTAATTTATCAAAATTTTGGCTTTGACGCAGCAAATTTATTTGTGCATTTCATGCCAAAATTAAAAGCTGCCCAAAATAGAAATTTGAAACTGAGATGATCACTTTATTAAGCCGAGGTGCGGGAACTGGAGCTTTGATCCTCCTCGCGTCATCATCCGAAAATGAATGTTGACAAGATTGACAGATTGTAGGTTTCGCTTTTTTCAGTTCTTCGTTCATCTCTCGAAATCGAAATACTTCTCTTTCCAGTTGGAAACACTGAAAAAAAGGTTTAAGTAGTAGTTATTATCTAGAAAAACAGTCGTTAAAAGCAGTTACTAAGCACTGCAAAATGCCCTTTTCTATACCTTTTTCTGTAAAGCATTTTTATCGTTAAGTAAATTGTTGATTGTCATTTGAAATTCGTCTCTTTGTTCGTTACAAAGCTGAATTTGCAAACGAAGAGCATTTTCACCTTGTTGACTTGCCTAAAACTCATTTTATAGATATAAAATGAAATCCATATCAACCGTCAATTAGAACAAATTAAACTCCACTGATTCTAAATTAAATTACGCTATTACAGGTTAGCTTCAAATAAAGTTTCTCGCCGTCCTAACTTTTTTCAAAAGTTTTGCATTAGATTAACGATAAGTTTTGTTAATGGGTTATTTTTTTGATAAAATTGACTGGCTTTGGAGCAGTCTGAAACGATACGTTGTTTATAGAATGACCTGTAATTTTTGTTTCAGATCCGCAATTTCTTCTTCCCATACTCGTTCCTTCTCTTGGTAAACACGTATAATTATTTCTTCATTCTGCTCCATTGTAGTTCGGACATTGGTTAACTCATTTTCCTTATCTCTAATAATTGTCTGCAAATTATATACCCCTTATTTCTCTCCTTACACAGCTACAGTTCCAACTCTATATCTAATTCCGACAGTATATATCGTTCTTTACCAACTTTCCTACTTTTGGCTGTACCACAAAAAAAAAATTCTTTCTGCGCTCCAAATTTTCTCAAAATGTTACTTTTCCGGCAGAAAAGTATTTCCAGAAACAGTATACAAGAAAAACTACAATAAGTTCCAACTTCGTAGTCAACAATGCCGGAATCGCTGGGTGATGGAGTTATGTGAACTCCAGAACTGCGGCGACCGTCATTAACTGAATACACCTGATGTGTTGACAACGATTTCTTGAAAAAATTATTTGTTATTATCACTGTCTCATCATTTTTGTTCCCTAAATTTAGATTTAGATTTTCCAGAAAATGATAGTTCAAGTAAATCAAAAACCACCTTGAAAGAGTTGGGCAACGGGTAGCTTCGAAGATTGGAGACACAATTGTATTTCGTTTTTGAAGCACTCCGGTGCTTTGTTGGTGATGTAATTCGTTGCGGGTACGGTCTCAAGACAGAATAATTTTCACAACACGCGGAATCTGAAAAGAGGAATGGCACCGTAAATCAGACCCATAATACATAGATAATAATGTTCTTCCCGGAGGTTTGTTGCCATTAAGGTCACGACTAAAGCTTAACTGAAGTCTAGCAAATCTGTTAAATTTACCATCTGAAAACACCTTATCACGTTCGTAATATTCTGGAACCACATCGTAGTCGTTTTCTTCAATATCAGACTTCACAGAGCGTGCACTATACTGTACAGATGCCAACGATGAAGCCTCTGAGCTAAAAAAAAAAAAACGCATAATTGAAAACTTATCAGTCAATTAAACAGTTTTTATACCCGGTCCCAGAAACTTTAAAAACAAAAAGGTGACGCTTCAGTCGTCTGAGCGTTTTTTAAAAAGTGCGCTACCTCGTTGAAGGTTGACATACACCACGTCGATTCCCATCATTCACGGCGGCTGCGCCAGTTTTTTCCAACTCCTCGCTGCAACTATTTATGTTCATTCTTTCGAAGTAAAAAAAATCAAAAATTTTCATTTGAAGAGAAAAAATGACTGTAAGGAAAGGTTTTCAAACTATTGAATTTGCAGAAGTTGCTTTCCTAAAGTACTTGATGTGTGAAAAAAACGCAAAGAATGGATTACTAGCAAACAATGCGTCATTTACATGAACAATTCGGACAAACCGACAACAGTTATTATAGATTAAGGGTAAATTTTAAAGACTTGAAAATCAAAAATAAATAAACTAATCCTCACCTGGAGTGAATCTTCTTTTGTACTTCGTGTTCTTGCTTACTATAGGACATCACCGCAGTAACCGTTTCTTTAGTTTCGTTCCTTTTTGTCAAGTACGGCCGAAAAGCAACTGGACGTATTATGTCAGCATCCTAGAGTAAAAAATCAGTAAAATCTTGATGTAAAAAAAAAAAACAAAAAAAGGAAATAACAAAAGTACAATTATATCACCAGTTATTAATCATCTGTACAGAATGACATGACAAAACACTCATTAAGAGTCCTACGAGTTCAAATAGAACAAGTCTGCCTAAGCAGGTCAGAGTCAAAAGAATTTGTAATGGTTAACAAGCACAAAAACTTGATCCTGACGCTTTATGAAATATTCCTTTTAAACATCTACTAAAAAAATTTTATATTAATAAAAAGAAAGTAGAACAGTTATGAACCAAAAACAAACAGTAGAAAAGCTACCTGAAGTATTTTTGACAAAAACCGTCACAACAATATTACATATAAAAGGTAACTGTTGGACAACTCAAAAATGCTATAAGTCAACTTTTGTAAGAAGTGAAGAACCGTAAGAAATATTTCTTCCATTAAGATAATCATCATCTGTTTGCTATAATTGAAAAATCCATTAAAAAATTGAAAGTAAAATTTATTTTTTCTTTTTGAAACACCGAATAAAGTTAAACAGATAAATAGCTTGAAAATCCGGCTTTTTCATTGGGCAGATGTGAAGTAATAAAGTCGCAGAAAGAAATAAACGAAAAATTTACAGAGGTAATACCATTGTTAGACAATTAGTGTTATCGAATTTGTTTGCAACAAAATGTGCAATGGGGAGAAGCAAAAAAGAGGGCTGTTAAAATACGTTGTCAGTACAGTAGAACTTTTTAATGCATATAACAAAAAAATAAATAAATAAATAAAAGTTGCTTTTTTTGTTTCCCTGTGAAAAAACTACTTTTTCCGCCTCCTACCCTCTAAAAAAATAGTTTTTTAACGGTTTCGAATTACGTTGAACAACATTAATTTAATGATTAGAAGAAAAGAAAGACGACAACAACGACAACGAGGAGGAAAGAAGTGTAAGAAAAAAACATCTTCTAAAGTGCCTTTCTTAAGCAAAATTTTGGAAAAAACTATAACTTAAGAACACCATACTGCTTAACCATCACATCAGCAGCCATAATAATCAAATTATGGCTATCAGTATAAAAAATTCAATTTTTTCCTTCTCCTCGTACAGTTCTCCTGCCTTTCTCTAAAAGCTCCAGTAATCAGTAAAACTTTTGATGTTTAACTGATAAAAACAGATAAAAAAGTTAAAAAGAAAGATTGTTTCTGGAGCATTTCCATAGATTTAATCCAAAAATTAATGACGAAACCCAGCCAAAAAAA